TAAGTAATTTCTATTCTATATTCTAAGGATTGAGAGTAGCCCAAATTAGAATTGATGACAATGTTCTAAATTTTTCTTGATCTCTTGTTAAGTTTCACGGTTTTGATTCAATTCCCAATGCTTTTAATGCTTTCAAATTTGTTGGTCTTCTTATTTGCATGATATTAGATATTATAAGAATAATTAAAGGTGAACTTTGATGTTAGAAATCCCAAATTTGAACCTGAAATTTTAAACCAAGAAAGTAAATTAGGTTTCTTGAAAAATCATCCAATTACCATAGTTCTCGATGGGTTTAATTAGATGTAATTACCACAAAAGTAAGAATTAGTTTAATTACATACGTTATTATATTTTGAAAGGAAACAATAATTTCTTTAAGTTAATTTTCTTTCAAAAAAATTAAGAATTAGCAAGAAAGTTCGTTCTCATCAGCTATAAATTCCCATTTATCTTGAAACAAAGTCGAGCTCCTTAAGATTTGAATTTGTTCTATTTAAATTAATTGTGTCATTTAATTCGTACTGTCATTTTTATATTTTCCTATTTTATTAATTGGATGCATTTTAGATAATTGAATTGAAAATAATCAGTATTCAACAAAATAATTCATGTGAAGACTATAACTTTTTACTTCTTGACAACAGGTGCACTAGCAACATCAGCTATCCAATTCTTTGTCCTCATCTAGCATAAATGAATTTCACTTTCCTTAAGTCCACTCCTTTCTCTAAGTCAACACCATCCACATTGGAGTTTGTCTGCACTCCCTTGCTAGGTTCCTCATCCTCCAAGGAAGTCTACTGCAAGTTGTTAGTAGATTTCCATAAGAGAGGGTGGTCGTGATAATAAAGTCAACCAACTAAACCTGTCTAGTGACCAAAGGATACACACAAGTTTTTGGGTAGAATTATGATGACACATTCTCTCCTATAGCCAAAATGCCTTCCATCCTTGTGTTTCAACCTTCAGTTGCCATTCATTGTTAGCCTCTTCATCAATTGGATATCAAAAACACCTTCCTCCATGACAATCTTGCTAAAGAGGTGCATATGGAGCAACCTCTTAGGCTTCTTGCTGACAAGTGTCTTTTGGACTAGTTTGTTTCTAACTTGGCCTTAAGTAGCTCTCACAAGCCTTATTTGATAGATTTAGCATTGTAATAACATTTTGGCATAACTCCGCAAGAATGCATCAATTGTTTTGTATGCATAGATGACATTATCATTATAGACAACAATCACCATGGGTTCACTAAGGTTAAACATCTTTGTCAACACTTTCAAACAACAAATTTAGGAAAACTTCAATACCTCTAAATAATAGAAGCTCAATCAAATGATGGTATTATAATCTCCCATGATATGACACTAACATTCTTGAGAAAACATAATTGTTGAATACCAAATTAGATGACACTACTATGGATCCAAATGTGAAACTTATGACAAGTCAAGAAGAACCGTTTCAGCATATAAAACAACAACCAAGCTTTATCCCACTAGGTGAGTTTGGCTAGGCTACATAAATCACACGATGTCATTAAACTCGGTAAAAAATCAAATTTTCTAACCATTACTCATCCAAACATATCCTATAGTTAGTGTGGCAACTCATTTTCTAAATTCTCAATTCTGAGATGTAGTAATTTAATATCCTCAAGAACATTATGGATCTCGGTAACTCATTTTCTAAATTCTCACCCTGAGCATGATAGTGAGATGTAGTAATTTTATATCCTCAAGAACATTATGCGAACTTGAAGAAAACGTCTTCTGGTCATACTCAAGATGTTGGATATTCAAATATTATTTTACCAGATTCACCTATAGACAAAGAAAAACCACTACCAGGTACTGTGTATTGATTAAAAGTAATTTAATTTCTTGAAAAAGCAAGAAACAAAATGTTGTCATAAGGTCAAGTGTTGAAGGAAAATATTGAGCCATGATATAGTAAAATGCAAAACCATCATGCTATGGCTCATACTACTTACAAAATTGGGTGAATATCTAACTTGATAAGATAATAGAAGTACCAAGCCCAAGCTACTATTTATTTGACAGAAAAATAACAACTATGGTGAGATAAATCATTCTATGTATGTAGTCAGTTAGTTTATGTCTTCTCCCTGTATTGGTCATTGGGAAACCACATTGATATTTTGTGTTACTTGAAAAAAAAAAAAAAGCACTAGGACAAAGCATTTTTTAGTATGTGTGGAAGAGTACTGTGGAAAGTTTCTCAAATGCAGACTAGGTTGGTTCCCCATTAACAAAAGATCTACATCAGGTTATTATGTCTTGGGAAATCTTGTCCTGTGGGAAAGCATGAAACAATGTTGGGGCAAGGTCAAGTATTGAATCTACGAATTCTTTCACGGCATACACCATCTGTATTTAAGTCAGTATAGCTAGATGAGTTATCAATCTTGCATAGCAGCATGTGGCATTCAACTCTAAAAAAGATCTGGAGATCATCCATGTGCCTACTATTGATCAAAAAGCTAACATTCTTACCAAGGCTCTATCTCCCTCGACTTTCACCCTCTGCAGGTCCAAGCTCAGAGTCGTTGAAAGACTCTCTGCCAACCCCTCTTGATCTTGCGGGGGGCATATTAGAGTTTACAACTCTTGTATTAAAACTTTGTATCAGTTTTTCTGTTTTAATAGTCAGTTAACAGATTCTGTAAAACTGTTAGCTTTCAATTTTGTATTATTATATACATCTCTGTAATAGTCTCAAGGTGGTTAATGAATTCTGTGACGAACTCCTAACAGAGTTTGCTTTCTTTCTCTACATTCTCTTACAATCTTTTAGACTCCGACTCCAAATATATGAATGAACCAAATAAAAAGGAAATATAGCTCGTTCATTGACACCACTAAGGAAGGAACTCCTAATATGTTTTTCTAATTGACATAACTTGCAATCTAAAGTGGACACTTCGGACAAATGTAGAATCATGACTCATAGTTTTTAAAGGTTCAGAAGGTCCAATTGTTGATGAATATAGTTGAAGACTGAGCAATTGGAGCCGATGTATTAAAGACAATATAATCCTTAAGATTCATATCTGACTCTAATCATCTTTTCAGTAGTCCACTCCTGAACAGAGTTGCCAGTGAAAAGAAATAAATATAGAAGAGCAAGTAAATTTGCTAACAAAAATGAGATTGCCCGGAACAAAAATAATTGTCTCTAAAGAGAGACCTAGTAACGGGGTAGTAGTACCAAGTACCAATGCCAGTGACTTCAGTTTGAGAACCATTAGCTAAAGTGACAGGAGGAAGAGAATTGAGAAAAGAAAGATAAGAGAAAATGATAGCATTACCAAACCTGTGATCAGAAGCGTTGAAATCAAGAACCCAAGGGTCAAAGGAAGTAGACTGGAAACATAAGCAACAAGAGTAACTATTTGAGCCACAAAGGTGACAGGTGAAGTGGATTGTATGGCAGCCTTGATATGAAGGTAATCTTGATACTCCAAAGCAGGAACAATGTTCTCCGAGTTCAACTAACAAACAGTGTGGAGGAGAAGAAGAGAAAAAGTGACCAAGAACCATACCAAGGGGGTTGTCAGAGATTAGGAAGACGCTGAAAAAGGTGACTGGAGCAAGATCAGCACTGAAAAAAGATAGACATGCACGAACATTGGCATCGCGTGAGATGCAAACATGCTAACAAAAGAAAAATGACATGATTATCGAAAGGAGGCACTTTTGGTTGCAGCCACAGATCATCGAAAAAGTCAATGACGATGAAGATCAAGGCTGGGCAATGACGTGATTACTGTAGCAACCAAAATTGATACTATATACAGAGAAAATGTATTAAAGTTTTTTCTCTATATAACATTTGACCCAAAGGTCTGAATTTATACAAGTGTACAAGGATCTATATTAATTACAGAATATTGCCTAATAAATCTAATCCCAATATTACGTTCCTAATTACTGTATTTGTATAAAGGTAATCTCAATATATATATATATATATATATATATGTATATTAATGTTAGTTTCACTAATATTCCAATCCATGAAACACTATAAAATGAAGTCAAGTCAGGCTCAACATTAAATGGCAACCCTTCACCAATATGGAATATGTGGTTTGTACAACCTCCACCATTCATCTGCAATGCAATAGCTTATAACATTGCCATTTACATCATGTAATTAAATTATAATTAAAAAAGAATCCACTTTACTTACCATAAGCCACTATAGTCTTTTGTCTAATTATTGCTTTCCAACCAAATAAGTCTTCAATCCTTCTATAAATTAACAACTCATTAGAAGTCATATCTACCACTTCTTCATTTCAAACAACCTCTCAAAGCATTTATGCAACTGTAGCCCCTTTGTCACTCTCGATCATTTTCACTTCTTGGATTGCCACATCGTAGGATTGAGATAATGACTTGTTACATGCAATGGATGATGAAGTTGTCACTTTCGTCTTCTAGCAACAACAGCATTAACAATCAAGCTTTATCTCACTAGATGAAGTCGGCTACACTTTCGTCTTCTACCAATTATAAAAAAAAAATATCTCCTTTTAATTTCTTACTTCCATTAAATATTTTTTAATAGCTTCTTTAACCTTATCCATTGCTTCATAGACGTAATCCACTGTAGGCTTTTTCCATTAACAGGCAGCCTAAGAACTTGGACAAAGGGCCCATAGCCATAAGAGTGTAAATAATATCATTTGAAACACTAGGTATAAGTATTGAATTAATTATCCTTTCCCCCATAGTTTCACTTAGTGGGACCAAAATCGTACTTTGTCCATAATTGAAGGAATAAAAGTACAATTAAGCCTTTAAATTATAAAATCAATGTTTGAATTCTTATATCCAGCTGCCTAATGTCAGTAACCATTAACAAATGGCATAGCATGGCATAATAACACTAAAAAATAGAAAGAAAGATTTTTCATCAAATAATTTATGCCAAGGCAGAAATCATCTAGCGGCATGCTAGTCTCTTACCTTGAGCCAATGTATTTTCAGCATCTTCTACAAGTTTATCCACTTGATGTACAACAGTATTACACTTGTCCAGCGCAGCTTCCTCACTAAGATGTTTGTCATGAATAGAATGCAATGATGTGAGTATCTTTTCTGGTAAGCACCCAACAGCCAATTTCTGCATTGAAAATGACAAAGATATAACATATCTCAAGATCATACATATCAAAACAAAACAAAATCAGAAATAAAATCAAAGATGAAACAGTGCTGCAGCAACTTGCTTACTAATCTCACAGAGTGGGCATCCCTCTTCACTATCTTGATAGGATTTGAACTTTTCCCGTTGCTTGTAGATGATGGAAGTGTATTCTTACCCATTATTTCATCTTTAAGAACCTGACCGCGTGAACCAAAAACCTTCCTCTCCTCCCATACATCAAACTAAACATGAGAGAATGAAATGGTCAAGTATAAGGAAAGAAAAATACTTAATTAAGAAGACACTTATATAAGTAGGAAAAACAAGGCTCATCAAGCGAAAGAAAAGTAACATGTGGCTGATTAAAATAAACTTTCTAACTGACAGGATCATATCAAGTATCAACTACAGAGTTGTCATGTAATTAAATCAAATTGTACTCGATTATTTCTGGATAATTTCAAAGCCGTATAGCACAATAAGATACATAGGCAAAACTAAGTATGGCTAGTTACTAACTTTCCTAGAATAAGTAAGGCGCACACACAAAAAAAGAATGATTAATAAACTATGCTATATCAGAATAATTTACACTAATTAAAATCATTACACCACAAATACTGTGGGACTATAATGACACCCACAATAATCCAGTGAATGAAGCTTGCTAATCAATTCCTAAAACCACTCTACAAATAGTCTTTTTGTAAATACATTTGCCAATTGCAACCCCAGAAGAATGCTCTGTTAAATTTAATCAGTCCACAGTCCAATTTCTGCTTAATGAATATGATGTTTAATAATTATGCTGGACAATATTACAAGCAATGCTAACTGCTAATTTGTTTTACAAAAGTAGCTGAATAATGAGTTTCATACTTAACCTGGGGTCGTCCAATGATATTTTCAACCATAATAACTATTCCTTCTGCCGTAGCATGAAACTCAGCCTCTAGTCTCTACACATCACTAAGCAAGCACATTTTGTTTCTTACTCCTCCATGGAATGCAATTAAATTTGAATCCAAGAACGCAAAGTAGCCTAAGGTCAATCTCCTATCAAATGATTGATCCTGCATAGCCACCATTTATAAATACTTCCATATATAGGTTTCCACCTCTATTACATAGTAATCCTCAGCCTAGAATGCATTCAAAGTATTGGATATTTTGTTGACTGCTTGCAAGTGTGTTACTCAGGTCAAGCATGAATTGGCCAAAAGCACTAACAGCAAATGCTAGATCTAGTCTCATACATGCCAAGTACACTAATTGACTAACTAGTATAAAAAGCTTTATCAACCTTGGGACTTTCTTCATAATGTAATCCAATGATTTTACCTAATTTACACTGGTAGCCTACAGTTGCTGCATGATAGTCCCTTGCAGCTGGAGACCACTACAGGGAAGCCATAGTATTGTTTTTCCATAGAGCTGCTATTGCACTCTCTTTTGCACCCAAATCAAGTGATTTTGAGGTTGTTGCAACTGTGATTCAAGACACGGACTTCTTTGCCCCCAACTGAAAGTTGTCCATTAAACTTTATAGGGAAGATTTATTAATTTTTCCCTTTTTTACCAATAGTTATAGTACGAAACCCTTTCAAAAATAGCACACTGCTCTCACGGGTCTCCCCTGTGTTCAGCATCAACCATCTGACAATTCTGACTAAGAGCTCTAAAGTGCATTTCCAGCCAACCCACAACCTACAGAACTCAGGCACATTGTACTGTTGTTTCTATTATATTCACATACTGTTTTATATTACTCGACTCTTCTTACTCATTTTTGTGTTTGGCTTAAAATTGTCTTTTAATTATTAATTATGAATGTCTATAATTTTAGATATTATCATTTTTTAACAAGTATATATGTCGTGTAATATAAATTATCTATAAATTTCATTATAGCAATCATCCCCAAGAAAGTACTTTAGCTTTCCAAGATCTCTAATCTCAAATTCAGTTTTTAACCTTTCCTTCATTAATTGTCTGTTAGCTAAGTCATGACATGATACAGTAATATCATTATTCCAAATCTCACTCATGAACCTTACGTTCCAAGCCAATAAACAAATCAATTATTGAAAAACTAATATCCTCATAGTTAAGGTGCACACTCAAGCACCAAAAATCATAACAAGTTACTAAAAACCAATGGATTTTATTAGAAAACTAGGCCTAACTCACTCTCAAAAGCCAACTCGAAGGAGAAAGCTACCCAAGCTTTATAAGGAGTATTTTGGCCTTATTCCTAACTAATGTGGGACATCTTAACAGTTTTAAAATTAAACCTCACATTGAATCGTTAAGAGCACTGGTTTGGGGTTCAATGGTTTAAATATGGTTGAAATGAGATCAAACCAATAATACTTAAATATATATATTTTAATACTATATAATATGTTTGATATATAGTAGTCAATCCCGGATAGTGGTGCAGAACGGCCGACCTCAAAAACGCTATAGCATCATAGCGGATAGCGGGATGGCTGCTATCCTGAAGTTCTAAGTATTATACCTAATATAAATTTAATATCCAAAACAGAGAGAAATAAAAAACAGAGAAGGAAATAAGAAAGAGAGAAATGGTCAATCACTAGTGGGATGCAGGTTCGTCGAATGCTTTATCAGAGATGAAGAAGATGACCAGAAATATTTGGATCACGTCGGAAGCTACACCTGAGTTGAAGAAGACAACCGGAGATGAAGACGACGTCAGAAGCTTCGCTGTAGATGAAGAAAATAAACAGAGAACAACTCTGTCAAGTCAGAAACCTCATCGAAGATGCAGAAGGACACTAAGCAAGAAAATGTTGCAAAGAACCAAGATCGGGAAGAACGAAGTAACGAACCAGAGAGAACTAAGAGGAGAATTGAGAGATGAAAATGAAAACATAGGGCTTGCTAGGAAGAAGATATCAGAAATGTAAAAAGGTGACAAAATCCCAAAATTACCCCTATTTAAAGATGTCCAACGTTAAGAAAGGAAGGGCAGAGTCAGGTTTTGGCCAGGGATGAAATAGCGGCCATTATGGCTGCGATTCTCCCGCAATTTGGCTGCTATTCGCGGCGTGATGGCCACTCCACTGAAACGCTACGCTACAAGCTCCCTATAGCGGCAACTTGCCGCTCTGCTCCTCCGCGATAGCAGCTGCTATGGCCGCAATTGACTACTATGATTTGGTAATAAACTAATATAAAATAATAAGAAAAATAAACTAAGTAAAATATTAAATTAACATAGAAGATCATTTTAATGTCATGTAACAAAAAAAATCATAATAAATAGTTAAATAACAATAATCCATAAATAGATCTCATATATGAAGTTATGAACCTTTACTTACAACAACAACAACAACCAAGTCTTATCCCACTAGAATATATGAACCTTTACTTATTTTAAAAATGTTTTAGAATTAAAATATTCCGAATATATTAAGAAAAAACCAAAAAAAATGAATTTTATCTAAAACAACCAATTCAAATTGGTTTTCTAGACTGGTTCTTGCCAGGCTTTTACCAGTTTTGGCCAGTTCATGATTGATATTTTGCTATTCCAATTTCCTTGTACAGATCGATGACTTGACTGGCTCCCAGTCAAACTAGCCAGTCCAATCCAGTTTTTAAAACAATGCTAAAATCCATACCACAAAGTTGAGATCGTACCCCATCCATTCAACAGTATGAAAAGAAGAATATCCTCATATAAACAGAGTCACAGACATCATAGTGACACATGCACTGAAGGTACAAAGCATTCCTTCCTTTCTCTGAGGTCTCTCTGCTTGTTCTCCCACTAACATGAGCATCAGATTGCCTTTTAGGAGAGGAGAGGAGAGGAGTGTTGCATTGCAGCATGGAGAGGATTCAATCATATGGGACTGGAACAAACAGTCATCATCATACACAAGGAGAATAGTGAGTTTACTGTCTTGTGGATGGTTTAAACATAGGCTGATCTTCCTCACTCTGCCTATATCCCAAGACATCATTGCTTTAGGGATTGATCGGGAGAGGGATTTTGGAGGAAAGGGAGGAGATGGCATAACTTAATTTTAAATTAAAAGAATTATCTATCATTTATGATGATAAATGCATGATTAATACATTAAATTTATGTTAATCTATCATTTTATATCTTTTGTTTCGAAAAATATTCAATTTATATTTAAATAGAAAATTTGCCCTTTCCTACGCTCCAAAACACCCCTCCCCCTCCCAAACAGCCCCTTAAGCTATGTTTGGATTTCATGTTTAGGAGGGGAGGGAAGGGAAGGGTTAGTGGGGTTTAACCCTTGTTTGGAAGTTAATTAATTATGAGGGGAAGGGTTTGGGGGTTTTCCTAAACTCCCAAAACCCTCCTAATGTTGGTTTTTTTATGTCTCCCATTTTGGGGGGGTTTTATAAATAAAATTTTAAAATTACTAATTTATCCCTTCTTTCTTTCTTAAAATGTCTTTCTTTCATTTGGTCTATCATTTTTTTCTTCAATTTGATTAAATGAATGAAATAGTAAAATAAATAAATATTTTTAAAAAAGTGTGTTGTTAATTTTAAAGAAAAAATAGCAAGAAAATATTTTTTTTTAAATATGTTAGTTTTTAAAGTGAGAATTTTTAAAAGATTTATAAAAAATAAAAATATTAATTTTTAGAGAAAAATATTTAATTTTTTATATTTTTTGAAAAAAATAAAAAGATAAAAAATATGAATAAAATGTCATTTATATGATTAAACGCCCCATCACCCTCCTCTCTCAATATTAAACATCCAAACAAGAGAGGGATTTAACTCTCCCTTCTCCTCCCCTCCTTCCCCTTTCAAACCCTTTCCTTCCTTCTCCCTCCAAACATCCAAACAAAGCCTAAAGGAATCTTCCAAACCACATGTGAAGGCACTACTTTAGTCCATACAAAGTCTTCTTTAATTTACACATTTTCTTTTCCTCTACTTGGGAAATCATATCTAGCCTCCAAATAAACTTCCTCCCCAAGTCTCCTTGTAGGACAGAATTCTTAAGATCAAACTATTACAACTCACTCATGGTGAGCAGCAAGAGTAGAATTCTGACAATGTTAATCTCTGCCACTAGAGCATATGCCCCCTAATAGTCAGTTCCATAAGTCTGAGTATATCTTTTTGCAACCAACCTAGCTTTATCGCAATCCAATGTGTCATGTGACTGATTTTTAACAGTGAACAACCATCTATAGCCCATAGGTCTTTCATCCTCCCCTGGTCTTTTAACAATATCTCATGTTTCATTCTTCTACAATGCACTCATCCTCTTTCATTGCTTGAAGCAAGTTCTTTTGCCCGTGCCTCTTGTACAGTTGTTAGGACTTTCATGTTGCAACTGAACACTTTTGACTTTTGAGAGAGACAAATTGGGAAATAGGAGAAACAAGGCCAAAGGTGGAGTTGGATTTAGAAGACTTGCTTCGCTTACCCATTAAATGGCTTTTCAATACACATGATAGTTTAATGACTTACGTGCCACTAATAGGTCCAATAAGTCTGTGGATGAGTTTTTGAGTATTGGGCCAACAAGGCCCAAGGTCTGGAAGGTGTATACTAGAAGAAAGAAGGCACTAGAGGATGATGGGAATGCCAGAGTGGCAATAGTTAGGAGAATTTGTTAGAATCTTTGGAGGTATATAGGATGGACGGGTAGCATGATGGTTGAAGGAACTAGGTCAAATAGCTGGAATCATTGGATACAGATCACGAGGATTTTTTAGTGCATAATAGCTGTTTGGAAGGAGGACTTGGGGTGTAGGGTCGCTTGGACTGAAGGTAAGATACAGAGATAGCAGAGATCAAAGTCAAGATAAATTGAACAAACAGCAGGCTAGACAGTGACCGAACATGCCATTATGTAGTGCTGAAAGTGAGGCATGTGGACTGACACACAGAGGAAAACCAACGCATGAAAGCACATGTGCTGACTACTAGAGGTGGGCTCACAATGGTTGGCAGTTCTGCAAACATCGGTTCTTCAAGTAGGGTTGGTATTCAAAAAGAAGGTGGTGACACTGACAGTGGCAACAATGACAATGGTGGTAACAATAGACGATCTCAAGCACGATGAAGGTACAAGAAAGGAACCAATGCAACAGCAATGAAGGTTGCTGTGGAGGCAGAATAGTGTTAAGGCACAGAAATAGAGACTCCCAGATTTGAAGCTTTTATGCTAACTTAAATGAAGAGAATAATATTACTTCTAAATAATTTCATAGCTGTACACTACAGTATAATATATAGGCAAAACTAAGCAAATGCTAATTACTGACTTAGTAGAATAAGAGCCAAGTTAAAGACACAGTAACTACTAAACTATCTTAGTATCAAATAATTTACACTAATTACAATGACTACAACAAACAATGTTGGACTGTTACAAACTTACAACCACGATAATACCCCCACACACACAAATATAGCTAGATAAAACAGAAATCTGCAGATAATTGTTATGATATGCCTACGCCAAAGACATATTAACCACAGTGATGTTTGTTGGCAAAGAAATTGCCAGTAAAAGAGAATTAATCCCATAGCAGATCAGAACCCTAAAAAGTAAAGATACGTTCTACCATTATCTCCCATTACCATTGATTACAATTAAGATATCAGAAAACATGAAAGAACCTTGAATGGAGCTCTTCACACAGCTATATAGAGGTTTGCTAGGATATTAACACTCAAATTGGTTGGAGAATGTACCCAAACAACAATGTTGACAGCACTGCCAAAAATGATTCAGACCCAGATACTACTAATAAAGACACTTCATATCCTGTGTTTAAGTCACATGATTATTATACAGAACAATGTTGGTTCTATTTTTAAATGAGCTGAACTTCTACACTTGTAACATGCTAAATAGGAACAGAGATGAGAATAAGGGTGTTATTTCAAACACAGACATAGGGATTACCAGAATTTCAGTTCAGGTCTCACAAATACAGGAAAGGCATTAGCCTATTGGGTGGTAGGTGTAAAATTTTTCAGGAAAGATTTTCATATCTAGAAGAACAAGAATTTTGCTCTGCTTAATAATCACAGTTGCTACACCAGTAATCTACATCATTGACAAAATCATATTAATCAAACAAATCATACAACATACATAGAGAATTGGCTCTTCAACCTGTAAGCAAATCATTCTTTTAGATCACCCAAGCCAGGAACCCACAAATCCATATAGCATTAAAATATAAGCAGAGAATGGAAAACATTTAGTATATTGTGCATTATAATAAAATTGATTCAGGAGTCAGAATAGGACTTACAAGTCTGGTTACTACTTTCTTTCCAAGCTCATCGCTTTCATAAACACGCCTGAGAGATGTGGGAAGAACTTTCCAGAATTCATTAACGAATTCACTGCCCTTCCTTCTACTATTTTGCAATATGTCATTCGCCAAGTATAGAAAAGAGATGCGCTGCTCTTTCTGCGAAGAGCTGAACAATTTATCCCATGTTTCAACTATCTCTTTTGCTCTCTTCCGGTGAGAAACACACAAGCGGGATAATGCTGATAGAATGTTTAAGAAATACATATTGCAATACACAAATCAAACTCGAACCAAAAGGGAAGGGGGAACTGTGAAAACCACCAGATCAACAAAATTAAATCACATATTCACATCATCAATATTGAGAAAATATTAATTTCGGAAATTATTCAGCTGGTGGGGAAAATCAGGTAAAATGTCTATTACCATTTTCTAAATTACAACATGCAACCATCATATTGATAAATTGATAAATCTGGCACAGAAGGTTAACATTACTCATCTCAAACAAGTCCTTAAAAAGATTGTTTTGGCCACTCTATAGGCAGCTTCTTTATGTTTATACAGGAATACATATTCAGTACACTGATGAGATGCTATTTCAACACAGGGATGTTTATACAACTGCAAATTATTGGATGCAACAAGATATTTTACATTTAAACAGGAAAAAGAAGAGAGTAAAAGGTTAACACCTAAAGACTAGCTTCATAGTGAACTTTCTCGCGTTATGTTCATTAATTAGCAAAATGGAAGATATGAGTGAACTTGATTATTTACATGCTATCTATATAACTACACTTTCATTTTCAAAAATAAAAAATTAATAAACATACCATCTTACTTGTTAAACAAGAAATGAAAACTTACTAAATGTTGAGATGGCAAGCATCAAGTAAGAAAATAAAAAGTACAGGATATGGTGACATTTTGTAAACATATTTTTTTATATCCAAAGAAAACACTGTGCAGTTTTACTGTAACTGAATACATTGTAATGAACCAATAGCTCCATGGTAGATTTCAACACCATAACATGCCTGCTGGTAGCTAGATAATGCAGAAATAACAGAAAGGAACTTTGTCATGAAAACAACCAAACAAAAGAGTGTGCAATGCTGGATACATTCAATGCTTTGTTGAGAATTGTTGAGTTTCCACAACTTCTCTGCTAATATCTGCCCATCAAATACGTCATTCCCCATGCTGCTTTTTGCAAGTTTCACATATCCTGGAGATTTCCTATAATTTACAGAATCAGGGATTTGATGCACATAGAATGAAACAAAATGGTATAATCAGAATCATAAAAATTCATCATGAAAAACCATTTAATAAGGAGTTCACTCACTCATGTAGTTCACCGTGCTATGTTACCTATGCAGTATGCACTATACCAGTTTAGTTATATTAATGGTATACCCAATGTAGCTGGCACCGGCAGTTAGCTGTATTGTTTGAACAGCATCTACAGTTAGGCTACAATGACTGTATCTGGCGGATTCAGTTAGTTGATCATACTCCTCTATAAATAGAGGATTGCAGTAAGATTTTCCATTTTCAATGATATTTCAGACAAAAATCATTCTAAGTTTTCACTCAGCAGAATTTTTTATGCTTTTTTCTCTTCACTTTTCATCATCCCAAGTTCAGTAACATACAGCTGTAGACTCTAGGTTTGATTCAGCTTATTTTACTATCTTCCTCACAGCTTTTGAGAAATAAACGATTATTTCCGTATTCAAACATGCCCGCACTTGTTTTATCTATAATACAGTTTTCACTAACTCTACCCTATAATGTCAAATAAAAATCATATTCATACCTATAAAGATTCAGATACCCACACTACAGTATCCCCAACTTTTGGATTTGCAGTATTAACATTAACTTGCGTGCTCGAATTGACTTACATGATGACAATAAGAATAACAATAATATAGCTTTTGGGAGTGAAAAAACGATTATATACCCAAAATTAAGCTGAAACAAACAAGCTAAATATACGTTCTGACAAAGTACACATGTTCTTCTTCTATCCCCTTTGTATAACATGCGAAATTTTGTTGGTTTCGAATTAGAGAAAATTCCAAAAAGGAAGTGAGTTTGGGCTTTCCGATTGAAAAGGGAACAACGTTTATAGGGACAGTGAGGGTTAGATCCAGAAGAGGACTTACAAGGGTTGAGGCGAAGAGAGACACGAGCTTCTTTCTACGACGTCGTTTCGTGCCAGCTTCTGCTTCCTTCTCAGTGTTCGAAAAATGACCAAAGGAGAAGATAAAGAAGAAGAGAGGAAGTGAAGGAAAATATAGAGAGAATCTGTTCTCTCGTATTTTGGGTTTTGAACTTTGAAATGTGAGAAAAATGTTTTCTATAATTGTTTACTCGTGTTGAAAATTTAGAGAGAGAAAGAAAATCTCGATTTTAAAATTATGATTTTGCCCTTCTATTTGCTCAAACTAGAAAATGGTGGGATCCACCGTTATAATATTCTTTTAATATATCTTTAAGGATATATAATAAAAGATGAATAAATAATAATTTCTTATTAAAAATTAAATATTTAATATTATTAATATATTAAATTTTTTATAATATCATTTAATTTAGTAAAGAACTATTATATATAAAGTTTTATTACATATTTTTAGACATACATTAAAAATTAAGGTTATATTAATTATTTTTATGCATATTTTTATATTTTTAATTTAAATTGACATGTATTCATTTGTTAATATGCTTTCTCGGATATGTTATGATTAAATCCTTAAAAAATTAAAAATTTTGGATTTAATATATGTTGTTAACTCCTCTTAAGTGCTGAGCTGACAAATAAAAAGTAAATTTAGCACTATCTCGTGTTATGTCATTTATTTTAATATTTTATTATTTAAAATAAAATCTTCTTTTTCCTCTATCAATCTCCTCCCCGACAATCCCACCTCACCCTACCCCTAACCTCCACCATCACCCTTACCCCCACTCACTCCTCATCCCCCTAACCTCCACTCTCACTCCCTTCCCCTTCTCTCTCGCTTCCTCCCCTTTCTCCCAATCTTACCCCTTTCCACACCTCCCTCCGACATCCCTTTCTCCAAGTAGTGAGCATTGAGACATTTTGCTCAAAACATGAAGATAACATACTAAACAAGTAGAAAGATTATAAATTTTGTTTATTAAATGCATATTACTGATAAGAAAGTCATGACTTATACACCATACGTTAAATATTGGAGTCCACCAAAATTATAGGTCAAAACATAAGAGTTTTGACTTTCTTTCAATTAATGTAATTAGGTGAGAAATTAGGGTTAAGGGTGGGGGTGTCAAGTGGGGCTGGGAGGGAAAGTAAAGAAAGGAGTGCAGGGTGGGGTTAAGTGTGTGGGAAGAGAGAGATTACGAGAGAGGGAGGAAAAGGGTATGGGGAGGTGGAGGAGTTTTGGGAGAAATTTGAGGTTGAAGGTAAAGGAGTGAGGGGAGGTGAAGGGGGAATGGGTTACAAGAGAGATTTGAAGTTGTGGGTGATAGAGTGGAAGAGAGATTATGGGAGAGGTTTAGGTTATGAGGTGAGAAAGTGGAGTTAAGAGATGGGGTGGGGGAGGTGAATGGAGAAAACAGAAGAAATTGAAGGAGTAGGGTTACGAGAGGTAAATGGAAAGAGGTTACAAGAGAAGTTTGAGGTCGAGGAATGAGAGTAAAAAAGGGGTTACTAGAGAGGTTTTGGATTAAGGATATGAGGTGAGGAACTGGAGTTGGGGAAGGGTTATAGGAGAGGTTTAGGGTTGGGGGAGGTGGAGGTGGTGGAGAGGGAATATGGGAAAGAGAGAGGTTTAGAGTTGAAGGAGTGAAATCAGGGGAAGTGGATAGATAGGAGTTACGGGAAAGTTTGGACACGAGGGAGTGAGATTAGGAGATGGGCTATAGGAGAGGTTTAGAGTTGAGGGAATGTGTTTGGGAGAATGGGAGTGGAGGGTGGAGGAAGAATGTTGGAAGGGGATGGAGAGGTGAACGGGGAAGAAGGTATGGAGAAGGAGAGAGAAATGATGTGGGAAAAGAAAATAGAATGACTTTTATGTAATTTTAAATAATAAAAATTAAAAAATAAATGACATAGCCTATTATATGGTGCCACATAGGACTATTGAGCTGATTTTCTTAACAGATGGAAGTTGACGGCAAAGATTAAATTCAAAATTTTCTATTTTTCAGGGACTCAATTCTAACAAAAAAATTTTATAGAAACTTATCACAAAACAATTTATATTTATAAGGACAAAAAACATAATTAAGCTTACATGATTTTAGGAACAAGTTTTACACTTAATCAATGACATATTTAACTAGATGCTTCTTTTGTTATTGTTTTGTAATTAATATTTCTATTTTTTTAACTTTACCTTTTAGATTTAGTTAAAAGTAATACTTTTTTTTAGTCTTTCAATTTAATGGTAAAATAGTTTCATATTTATATTTTAATTTTTTTAGTTTGCAAAAAAAGTAATAATTTTTATTTTATATATATATATATAAATATTTTTAAGAAAAATATATTATTATTATTATTATTTTGGACTTAAATTCAAGTTATAAATCGACGATGATATTTTTATATTTTATAATTCTTATTTTACTCATTCATTCTAAATGTTTTTAATAATGTAATTTTTATTATTTTATTTAACTATAGTAAAATTGTTAATATTAAATATTTAAAAAATAGAAAAATTTCAGAAAATGAATACAAAACATTAAATGCTAAAAAATTATTATATTTAAGAATAATAGTGAGTGAATTATTTTTAGAAAAGTATAAAAGGAATAATAAAAAAAAGTTTCACACCTCTTATAATAATATTCAATAACTTTTTACAGAGATCTACCATATTGCACCTAATGGCCTATCATCACCACCATCAAGTTTAGATTTCATGTTTAACTAAAAGTTATAAGGAGTTATTTGGAAAGAAGGTTTTAAAGAGAAAGAGAATACAAATGTTGTATTTTAAATAAATATATTCAAAAGTAATATTTTTATAATAAAATATATAAATTTAATATATTTATTATTATAAATGATAGATAATTTTTTAATTTAAAATTAAAAAATATATTTTTTACTTTTAAAATTTTAAAATTCACTTCTCATGCATATTTTATGGGAGTTGTTTGGGAATAGAGATTTTAGAGGGTAGAGAAAAGGCATAAATTTAATATATTAATCCTACATTTATTATCATAAATAATATATTATTTTAACTTGAAATTAAAAAAATATGTCATCTTATATTATCTCGGCTAATTGTTCTCGAATATCACTCGTTACACTTGAAATTTCTCGATTTTGAAATATATTGAAACCTTAAGTAGAAAAAAAATTGGTATGCTGTATTTCTAAGATTGTATTTCATATTCGAATTTTTCCTTTCTCCGCCCCTGTTAAAAAAATGAGAGGGAGAGAACTGGAAGAGAGAAGGAAAAAGAGCAAAGGATTTACAAGTCTAATGGGAGAGGAATGGCTGACACGTTGACTGCCTTTGAAAAAAAAGAACCCAAGCGGTCCCCGGGACGGACCCCAACTGAAAGAAAGGTGCTAGACGGACTAACGGCAAGCGAGATAAAGAAAGCAGTTGGCCCTATGTTTATGAACTTTTTACTATATCTCTATAGTAGTATGATATTGTCTACTTTGGGTCTAAGTTCTCATAATTTTGATTTTAGACATCAACCAAAAGGCCTCATATTAATGGAGATCTACTATACTTATAGCCCTTAATCCTCCTCAATTCTAATCAATGTGGGATTTTGCTTGTACATCCCAACAAAAGCAAATCCAAACTGTAGACTTTGTTATCTTTCCAAAATCTAATACTAAGAGAACAAAACACAAACAAAGATAAACTCATTAGAACTTTTTCAATAAAAGCATATAGCCCATAAGCAATCTTATAACAAAATGATTTTGAGAATACTAAACATAACATTTGGATCAAATTTAAGCCACACAATAAAAATATATGGGCCATTGATCCTTCAAGGCCTCTAAAACTGACAATTGAGTTCAATCTCTATTGCATATCCAACCCTACAAAATATAGTACCCTTCGTTATCAATAATTCAATGTCATGAATGTTACAATTTTGAAATTGCAAAGCCTTTACATTTATATATCAACATTGATTTCTACCACATCCTTTACCAAATTGCATGACAATTTAGTTCACCATTCACCTTCCTTCAACACTTTATCAAAATACATAAAATTGGAACAATCTATCACTTCTAAAAACTATGCAATTGCAAGTTAGGGTTAAATGTTACTGCTTTCAATCAAGTTTGTTAAGCATTAAGGACCTTTCTCTAATTAATTGTCAACATGGGATTCAATTATTACATAGACTAATTTAATTGCTCCATATCCGCAGAGTTAGTTAACCTTCTCAAACGTTGGTGTACCATAGAATTCATCCATGTATTGAAGTTTGCATGTGTGTTATTTCATCATGTTGTATGTCGTAATTTGAAGTTAATGCAACCTTTGGTTTTGCTACCTTATAAAATTTTGTGACATTTTGAACCAAGATTTGCTTATCGATATGTCACCTCCATGCCAAGTATCATTATTTGTATTAATTTAAGTGTGGTTGAGAAACATTAATCTACAATTTGTTGTTTGATTGTTCATTTATTGGTGATTGTAATTGCCACTTCACTCCTTAATTTCATGCTTTTGGTTTACTTAAATAAATGTAAATAATAATTTATATTAATGTTAACAATGCACTATTAATTATTCATTAAAATTTACTAAAAACTTCAAAAGTATGTGAGAGAAACATTAATTTAATAGTGAAAGATTTTTATAATTTCAATAAATTTTAACAAAAATAAAAAATATTAGAAAGTGTGTTGCTATCATTTCTCTTTAACAAATTAAAGTTCTTTGCTAGCCATAATTATTTATCTTGGATAGCAACAAATAGCAGTTAATCCTTAAAATTGCTATAGTGAAATAGTGTATTACATGACGTCTGTTATTAAATTCAATACTTTGATTAAAATAGTAGAATTGAAGGTTTAAGTTATGGCCTACAACATGTAATGGGTTATGAAGTTGACATTCTCACCTTAAGAATGTATAAAACTTCATTCCAAAATGTAAGCATCAATACAATGTTTGTTGCCTTCTTACCCTTAGTCTCTTTGGTTGTCTTTGATTTCCATCAATTATCTGAGGTGAACATTTTTTAAGGTTGCTTTTTTGTTTATGCAACCTTTGCAAAGTGAAGAATAGTGTTGAGAATGTGGTTACTCCATGCCTAACCAATTCTTGAGGTGATGTCCTATAAGAGAACAACCCCTTTGT